ACAAAATCTTTCTGATGACCTATGCCAACTCTCTATTACGGAGAAAGCTACGATAACAGAGCAAATAAAATACAGAAGACAACAGTTTTGAAATTACCTTGGTTGTTTCTCTCTCTCACCTATAGTGGCCTTCTGAGGAAGATCACTTCGGCCTTGGGATCTGGTGCCACTGAAATACCCATTCCATCTCTTGCAATCCCATCTGTGTATAATTCTCTCCACTCATTTGAGATAAGAATGGAGGAGAGAAAAGCTGAGTCCATTTTAACTGTCACAACTCCTAGTCTCATAACACGTCCTTCTTTTCTACTCACCCCTACGGTTCCCTCTTCCCCAAGAAGGTGGAGTTTGGGGAACCTTTTGTTCTCCAGTGGGTGAGATGTGTTCCAGGCCTAGAAAGTTAGGGATGTGATTAGAAATCAGCTCCAACAATAACGAGAGTATAGACTCCAGAATACAGAGCAGGCTTGGTGCTTGCCTGTGGGTATATACTGTTTTTTCTTCTTGAAAACCCTAATTCTGTTTTGCTCTAGTCTTTTTATTTTCATCTTCCCATCATTTAAAACTGAAACTATCACAAGCTGAATTTACGGTAGATTCCAAGCAACAAACACGGGCTTAGATATCATCAAATGTAACGTTTTCCAAACTGTGTTCTGCAGAAGGCCACCTCTGTGAGGTGCTCTCCTCCCACCAAAAAAAGGCTACCATGGCCAAATAAACTTGAGAATCCCTGCACACTCCACTCCCTCCTCACATCTGAGCACACTTGAGGCCCTGCAGAGTCCCATAGCACATAAACTATGTTCAACTCACACGGTAGTTTCTGCAGGGGGGCTCTAGGCCTCCTTTCCCAGACTACAATTTCTATGAGAAAATGCTCTGAACTTCAAATCTAACTGTCCATAAACGGAAAACTTCCTAGACATTACTGAATTTTCTTGATGATATCAGATAAAAACGTGATATGTGATAACAGTACATAAAAACGTGTGACCCATAAAACGTCTTCAAGGTAAAAAAAGTAGTAACTTCACAATTAAAAATGTACACACACACACACACACACACACACACACACACACACCAGCTAAATGGTTAAAT